GAGCCGCTGGAGGGTGAGAGAATTCAGCAGAGACAGAGCGGGGAGCAGAGCAGGCAGACGACGGATGGAAAACACTGCTGAGGGAAGTAGTGGGAGAGACAGGAGAGGTCTGCTGCGACATGTGGGTATCTCCCTGGCCTGCCGGGAATTGAACCCACGCTGCAGAGGCTGCGGACAGCTTCACAGTGCTAACCTCAACCCGCTGCACCACTGGGGAGGCCTGGAAAAATTTGTTTTTGTGAATAAACAAATGGGTATAGGCACAGGTTAGCAGGGAAAAAGAATTGAGATGTTTTGCCAAGAATAAGTGTGGAAGCAGTGAGGACATGGAGGCTACCAGTTCCACTACTGCTGAACAGCAGTAATTCAGGCATGTGGTCTGGGGAGGAGTTAGGGTTTTCAAGTCATCATCAGCAACTTGGAATCTGCTCACATTTCTCAATCCCTACGTATTTACATAGCTTCTTATACAAAATGGAGATAATATGTGAGAGTAAAATTTTAATTTGTATACACTTTATACTAAAATTCCTTTATTTTTTGTTCCCTCCCCTTCCATACTTATCTGGATAAATAGGTAAAATAATTTACTCAATGTGGAATTCTTATTTATTTATTTATTTATTTATTGTTAAAGATTTAGTTATTTATTTATACATACAAGAACTGGGGTACAGGCCAGATGCGCAGGAGGGTGAGAGGATTCACCAGAGACAGAGCGGGAAACAGAACAGGCAGACTGACGAAATATACTGCTGAGGGGAGTAGCAGACAAGACAGGAGAGGTCTGCTGTGCCATGTGGGTATCTCCCAGGCCGGGATCAAACCCGCAGTGCAGAGACTGTGGACAGCTTCACAGTGCTGCACTCAACAGCCTGTGCCACCAGGGGAGGCCCCAAATTCATATTTAATGTGCAAAGTAATAAGAGTTCTGGACTGCAACCCTGTGTTATATTTGTTATTTTCATTATGAAATGTATTTTTATATTTTAAAAATATAATTTATCTTTGCAAAATTAAATTCCTCAGTACTATAGACTTGAATATCCTCATAGTTTGTATTCTTAACATTGTTCTTTCAGTAACTTGTTCTCAACCTAATTCGGGGTCTGCCATTTATTTGCAGTATGATCTCAGAAAACTTCTTAACCATTTTGAGGTTCATTTTCATCATCTTTGAAAACACTATATTGTGGACATTTAGTGAGAGTATATATATATTTCACAGCTATGCCTGGAATTTATAAGCATACAGTAAAAGTGAAACCCTGCCTTACTCAACACTCTAACTCTCGGATTATGGGGGTGTTCTGTGAAGGCATGACACAAGCATTCCTGTCCTGCTGCAGAACAGATGTCTGAGTCAGTACTGGTACTGTGTTACCCACACTCCCACAGCATAGCTTGCATCATGGGAAGCAAGATTTGCTGTTGCCTTATTAGCACCAATAATTATGAGTAATAGGTATTAGCATAAAATATCAGAATTCAGTTCTTTCTTCAATGAAACTTAAGGCTAAGTAAATGAGTATTATTTAATTAAAGCTAATAGAGTACAGGTACAGTAGAGCTTCCTAAATAAGTAGATAGCCTACATATGCTTAGAGCACATTTGTCATTAAATCTTTAAAATAGATTTGAGGCTTGTGACAATAAAATAAATATATCCAATAAGCTTGTTAAAATGGAAGTAAGTTTAAAAACCATGTAGCAGGGATAGATACAATGTTTACTTAGGCTAATAAAATTATGACAGAGCATTACATTTAGCGCTAATGTCCCTAGATAAATTTAACTGTTTTTTCTAGCTTCCCAGAGTAGCAACAACAAATGGTGATTACCATCAGCATCTTATTCAGTCATTGGATTTTGAAGCCGACAATCTCTAGCCATGGTACTGAGTCAAGGAGGCAGTGAAGGTGCCTGAAACATGGTGAGAAAGCTCAAAAATCGAAAGAAAGGCCTCAGTGTGGTCATTTGGCAGTTAATGACAAGTAAAATCAAGAAAATGTTGGCTCAGAGTATTGACAGCTTTGGATTTACACTAAGGACTTTGTCCTTGGCTTTTTGTACGTTGGGCTAGTTCTTACATGTCTAAGTTGTGTCGCCAGTCATTAATAATGAATGCATATACTGTTAATACCATCAGAAAGCATTCCTGTATATCCATGACAACAGCTTGAGGCAGTGGTTGATTCCATTATCTGACCTTTGTTTTCTAATTCATTGACATCTGAGAAAGAGTGTTCTATATGTTTTCTTGGCTTTATGCAAACAAAAATATATGCAATTCATAAATGTGTGATTTACAGTGCTAAAGATAATTCGGTTTTCAAATTTTTTCTTTGCTTTACAAAAATACTATAAATATTCTTAAAATGCCAATCTCCTCTATTAACCAAGTTAGAATTATTAAAAGGGTTTTTTCACTGCAGAGATGAGAAAATCCAAAGATATGAAAATATCTTTCATAAAAATGTATATGGAAAGAGATTTTGGTTATGTATTTCAAGTTTAGATGGCCCTTGTGGGTGAAGTGGGTATCACATAATTGAAATAGAAGGGGTTATTTTTTTTTTAACTTTTTTTTTATTTTAATAATAAATTTTATTTTTATATTCCCCATACAATTGCAGCCCCCCCCATTCTGACCCCAATCTCTCCCCTCCCACCCCCGCCCCCTTAAAAGTGTCTCTGGTTCGTAGTTTTTTGTTGATTTTGATATTCACTTTCTTATAGTTATTTGTTTTCCTGGTCCCTTATTTAAAAAGGGGTTATTTTTAATTCCCAAGGTTGCAGTGTAAGTAATTATATACAGCATTGGAAAAGACAAATTAATATTTCCCAATGACTCTAAAGGGCAGATGTTTATTAGAGTATCTAAAACATTGTATCTTCCTTCAAAACAATTTTTAAAATACTGCTTTTTTACCTTTTAGTTTTACATAGAAATTTCACAGAACTCTCAGATAGAGGTACAAAAATTGAAATAGAAAGTCCTTATTCCTTGAGGCAAGATTTTGCTGAAATGTTTGGCTTATCTTACCTCTGAAACTTATGTCATGGAGTGTTTTGCCGATATTTTCTTCTATATACTTTATGTTTTCAGATCTTCTATCCAAGTCTTTTATTTATTCACTTTTAGTTGATTTTTGTGTATCACGTGAGATAGTTGTCCAGTTTCATTCTTTTGAGTGGCAGTCCAGTTTCCCAAACACCATTTGTTGCTCCAGTGTAAATTCTTTTTTTTTTTTAAAAAAAGGATTTATCCATTTATGCATACAAGAACAGGGGTACAGGCCAGAGATGCGAGGGGTGAGACAGAGTGGGGAACAGAACAGGCAAATTGACCGAAGGACACTGCTGAGGGGAGCAGCGGGCGAGTCAGAAGAGGTCTGCTGTGGCATGTGGGTTGCTACTTGGCTGGCCAGGGATCAAACTTGTGCTGCAGAGGCTGTGTATTTCTTCACAGCACAGTGCTTTACCACTTGTGCCACGATGGAGGCCCTGATACTTTTATTTCTATAATGAAACTGCTAGAACATAGAGATTGATAAGTTTCAGAAATAAGTATTTAATTTTTATTTATTTATTTATTTATATATATTTATTTAATTTATACAAAAACTGGGGTACAGTCAGAAGCGCAGGAGGGTGAGAGAATTCACCAGAGCAGAGTGGGAAACAGAACAGGCAGACTGATGAAATACACTGCTGAGGGGAGCAGCGGGCATGGCAGGAGAGGTCTGTCGCGCCATGTGGGACCCTCGCCAGCAGCCGTGGATCGAACCAGCACTGCAGAGGCTGCGGGCAGCTTTGCAGCCCAACGCTCAAACACTGCACCACCAGGGGAGGCCCAATAAGTATTTAATTTTTGATTCAGAAATTGGGCTTTAATTATTCTCAGATCTGCATGTATATGTGTGAGTCTGGTGTGTGTATGTGTTGAAGAGCCAAAGCAGTGATAGTTGATCAGGTGGCTGACTCCAGGTTATAATGCCTCAGAAGATTTCCTGATAGCAGCTTGCCCTTGTCCTTTAATAACTACTGCATAAATAATACCATACACAACTGTTAAGATCACTATTAAAATCCATATACTTGAGTAGTACACTCTGCTCTCCTCTATTGTTTCAGTGACTCCATCTCTTTTCATGTATCAGGATTTTAAAATTTGTTGCTTCTCTATTCTCTAATCCATGCATTTCTCATCAATACAGGACTTATACTGATGTCAAGGTGGTGACTCTTATTATTGATGATGCTGACACGATTTTTGCAGTGTCTGCCAGGACAGGATATGTTCTTTCAACAGTATGGTATTTGTTTTATTTGAGAAAATGGATTGGCCATCTCTTCAAATTCCAATCAACTCCAGACAGATTTTCTTTTTTCATTTTACCAACTTGTTTGATGCTTCTCAGAAAAATTGGCACATCACCTTTAATGGCAAGATTAGAAGGTTTTTAAAATAACATTTTTTTTTTTTTTTTTTTTTTTTATAGAGGCATGTTTTTCTTTCTTTCTTTCTTTCTTTCTTTGTTTGTTTGTTTTATACATGCACTGGGTACAGTCAGAAGTGCGGGAGGGTGAGAGAATTCACCAGAGCCAGAGCGGGGAGCAGAGCAGGCAGAAGGACCGAAGTACACTGCTGAGGGGAGCAGCGGGCGGCAGGAGAGGTCTGCGCGCCATGCGGGACCCTCCTCCGGTGGCCGGGAAGCAGCTGGGGATCGAACCGGCGCCGCAGAGGCCGCGGGCAGCTTCGCAACCCAGCGCTCAACCGCTGCGCCACCGGGGAGGCCCTTAAAATAACATTTTAAATACTGTTTTTCTGTACTGTGTGATTGATGCAATTTTAAAGATCAAATATTTTGTATCAAAGTTATTGATAAAAAATATTTTGATACAAATAAAATAAAATAATTTTGATACAAAATATTTCTAATATTTTGATACAGGAATAGTGAAATAGTAATTACAGAATAATAATTATTCAACAGGTTCATTTTGATGGCTGGGACCACAAATATGACTACTGGATGGATGCTGACAGCCCTGACATTCACCCAATTGGGTGGTGTGATGTAACAGGACATCCACTGGAAGTGCCATATCGTGAGTATTTTGTTCTTTATTGTTGTTTTTTAAACATTTAACCTGAATTCCTACCTTGATACTGTTTTTTCATGTCTATATAAATGTTTAAATGCTATGAAGTGAATTGATAATCACCATTACAGGTACATTGAAAGTTACCTGTTCATAAGTCTCAAAGGGCATGCTTTATACAAACGAAAAGTTGCAATCGTTAAGAAATTATTTGATAATGTTTTCAAAGGAATCTTAATTTTTACATTTAGCTTAAAAACTGATGTCTAAATTTGTCTAATTTTAGCCATTGCTTTTAGCTGGAGTATATTTTGCTTTTTAAAAACATTCCATCTTAGTTAATTTTGTCTTAAAAGTTGCAAAAAGTTTTAGAAAAATGGAAATGTTTTAAATTTTAGCAACAAAAGATATAAATTGTAAATATTTTCAGTGTTTCCTGGTATCTTCATTATTTCGATTTTTCTAGCTACTCAAAGTTAAGGAGAAAAGTAACCACTCTAAATTCTAATGAACCTTGAACCAAAATAGCTTTTTATTTTGTCTGAAGTATTCTTTTGATCAGATTAGGCTGACATGACTATTAACTAGCTCCAAACATATGTACAAGCACTCCTTTTGGCTTCTTGGGATAAAGCTAGCGTGTTATCTGTTAATAAGGATGCCTTACAATGAGCAAGTTTAGTGATGCTTAAGCTTAAAAGGCTCTAAAAGGTCTAATTTCATCGGAAAGAATTCCCTAAATTCTTGTAGAAGTGAGAAGGATCTCTGACTTACTAACTTAACAAACTTTTTTTTTTTTTTTTTTTTTTTTTTGCAGTGCGCTGTGTTCTTCAAAAACTGTAATAAGATACAGGTCCTTAGGCAACTTTCAGTGCATTAGCAATTAGCAAGCATAGGTTCTGTACACACAATGCAGAAGAGGGAGTCTGTGGTCAGTAGCATGTGGGGGAATGGTGTATTCATTTGTGCTCATATCTCACTGTTTATTCTCTTTGACTTCACACCCCTGAATGCCAGGGAGATGGGTCTTATTTTATTTTAACCAACGGTCTTCATAGGACTCCAGCCACCACCACACACATTTATTCTAGCAACTTTCTCAAGAGCAATGATTTCCGTGAAGATAGAGATGATTGCCATTTCTTTGCAGGGACAACTCTCTTCATTGCTCCCCTTAGGTATTACCTGCTCATTTGTCACGCTGCCTATTTATTTTTTTGACCTGACTGTCTCATGAGTATCCTGAAGTCTATGGATCAAACCTGAACTGTATCCCAGGCTAACAATGTACTTTTCTACTGTAGTTCCTGGTTGCTTCCAAAGCTCCTACTTGTTATGCAGAGTCATTCTGGACTCTACTCCCTCCTAACTTCTTCCTCATCCCCCACAACAACCTGTCACCAATTCTTGCTAATTCTCTTTCAGTTTTTTATAACTCATCTTTGTTTCCCACTCCCATGGCATTGCACTGTTTGAGCTCTCGTCATAGTTACAAGTGATTCACAGAACATAGTCTCCTAGTTAGTGAGCTGCACAGATTCTCCTATGAGCCTAACATAGATCTAAAAATTCAAGTTTTAGAGGAAATGTACACCTAGCAGTTAAAAGTGAAATCTGTAGTCAGAATACTTGGACTTGAATCTCAGTTTCACTGTTTGCTTATTGTGATTCTCTATGGTTGTTTCCTTGTCTATAAAATGGGATTAATATTAGTGTGTTTATCTCAAATTTGTAATGATGAAATGAGATAAATTAATGCAAAATACTTCAAAATGTGCCTGACCATAGTATATCCCCAGTTAATGTTACTTGCTGTCAGGAAGTGATACAACAGTCTGTAGATTTTCATTTTTTAAATAAAAGTATGTGAATTATTCGAAATTATGAAATTTGACAATTGGGCTAAAATTGATAATGTGACTAGACTTTCCCAAACATTTTAATTTAATTTTTAAGTTCAATTTCCTTGAATTCTTGTCAGTATTACAAAGATTCCTGTTTTGTGCACTCATGCTTAAGTAACTGGGATTCCTTTAACTTTGGGTAAAGATAACTCAATTGTGTTTCTTCAGTTGCTCTTCAGTTGCTCATGATACTCTGTTGCTGCTGTGCTTGCATTTTTTGTTACAAATTTGGGTAAATCATTATTAATGTGGTTTATTGTAGATTGTGTGGTTAGCCCCATAATTCATAATTATTCATATCTTCATCATTAATCTTATTAACTTTTAATATATGCTTTAAGATTTAATTATATTAAGATTTAGTGTGTTACCATCCAATCCCTTATTGTTAAAATAAAAATAAACACACACACAATCCTACTCAAAGTTTTTTTTTTTTAGTTCTGTTTATCTATCACTGAATTCTTTTTCCTCTGGAAAACATAAAAAAATGATTGGTCAAGGTACTCCAACAAAATTTGATAATCTGGCATTGACTGTTGCAATAACTTCATGACTATCTTTTTTTGTTTCTGTCTTGGATAGTCTGTAGAAAACCAATTTTCTCCTCATAGTCTCTATAATCTTTCATAGACTTGAGGGTCCTTTGCATGATCACAAGGCCCGTCATAATCTGTACTTTACTCATCTTCCTATTTTCCTAAAGTCTAAATGTAGGTTGCTTATGTGTGGCTTTAAAGATTCTGCAGAATGCAATAGTGTTAATCCAGTGGGGTATCTTAGAATGTTGTTGAGCTGTGTTTAGAAGAGTATAGGGGCTCTGAATCAGTGGAGAGAGAGGCAGCTGCTTTAGAGATGGAAATGGAACAAGTATAGGCAAGCTTAAATATATGTCAGTTCTCATATAGTTTTCGTTAGCATTCATTAAAGTTTGTTTTTCTATTAAAGTTTGTTTTTCTAGGTGGGTGGTATTCCTTGAGTTTGTTTCAGTTTTGTTAATGCCATTATTTATTTATTTATTTATTTATTTATTTGATTGTTTGTTTGTTTGTTTATACAAGCACTGGGTACATACAGTCAGAAGCGTGGAGGGTGAGAGAATTCACCAGAGCCAAAGCGGAGAGCAGAGCAGGCAGACGGACGAAATACACAGCTGAGGGGAGCCGCAGGCGGCAGGAGAGGTGTGCACGCCATGTGGGACCCTCGCCCCCCTTGCCCGGTGGCCGGGGATGGAATCGGCGCTGCAGAGGCTGTGGGCAGCTTCGCAGCCCAGCGCTCAACCTCTGCGCCACCAGGGTAGGCCCTGTCAATGCCATTTAATCAATATATTTATATTATTCAGAAATTGAGTCAGGAAATAGTACATGCTAAGGTCAGGCTGCACAAATGTAGTATATTTTGGCCAAGACCATAATATTTAGTCACTAAAGCCTAGCATAAGTTCTCAAAAAAGTAGCTAAAAAACCTTTTGACAGTGAAACTTGAATGTTCCCTCTCATTCAACTGGGAAGAGCACAAGTTGGTGGCCAACTGATGGCAACTTCCTGTTAGTCACTGTTCCTGCCAGAGATACTCACCTGCAGCCCACCTGGGTCTCACTGCCGGGTTAACCTGTCTTTTCTCATGTCGTGAGGGTACAATTTAGCTGTTTGGTTTCTGACTTATATAGTCCTTCAGGGTGGACCTTTTTCTACTCTTAGAAGTAAGTCATCAGGATCTTCTTGTCATACTTTGTATTTCCTGATTGTCCTTTAAAATATATGAAACTATCGAGAGGGCGGAGCAACATGGCGGCGAGGAGACGCTGCGAGTAAGATCTCCCATTAAAAAAAGTTAATAGGGAGGGAAAGCGGCAGGTCCCAGTGAGAACTGGGACACGGAAGATAAACGGACGACTCCAGCAAACTACCTGAAGAAGAAAGTTGCCATAAAAGAGGACCAGAAGGGAGGAAAGCGCAGAACCCTGCTCCCCTCCCCCGCCCACAGAGTCGTCACTCTCCGACCCTCAGAGAGGAGGAAAACAACAAACCAAAACGGCCAACAAGAACAAACTACACAGCAAGTGGGACTGGGAGTGGAAAGGAACTATTTCAGCCACCACACCCCGTGAACTGGAGCTGTGGAGAACACTGCAGGATTCGCCGCTGCAGTGAGTGAACGGCTCCGGGCGCCATTGGAGAACAGCAGAGAACCCTGGAGACCTGCACACAACCCAGGGCCGGCCGGTAAGCTTGCGCGGAAAAGCAGAGCACTTGAAAAACAAACGCGGATCGGGATCGTGGCTGCCCAGGTCCCCGCGCCTGCGACCTAGGCTTGCGGGGAGACGCGCGGGGGCCCTCACTGAGGTGAAAGTCCCTCACTGAGTAATCAGAAACCAGGCGCCTGGACACAGGAGTGGGGTGCAAAAGGCGCCATTACTGCAGCCACTGAACTGGGCTACAGCTGGCGTACTGGACCTGAGGGCTTTGGAACTGAGACCCGGGGCACGAAATTCGGAGCGTGGATCCTCCAAGTTGGTGGGGCGCAAGGCAGAAACAGCACCCCAAAGCCGTTGAGGTTATCCCTACCATTCCCGCTCTGTTCCCTATCCCACGGGGTGAAGAAAAACAGCCCCCCACGGACTAGGAGAGATCTCTAGAGCCACCTAGCGACCAGAAAAAAAGTCACTAACACCCAGGGACCTTTCTTGAAACCTGCAGAAGGCTCCTGAAGGAACCCCTGGCCAGCTGGGAAGTTAGCCCACCCCAGGCCCCTTCAGACCAGCAGTCTGAGCCCACAGGGGGAGCAGGCACCCACAGCCGGGGCAGACCGGGCGCGCAGAAGAGTGTGCCTGAGACCGGACGCGCAGGGAGTGCGTCCCGCATCGCCATTTTAGAACAGGGATATTTCTTCAGGAAAGACTGCATGCAGAAGGCTCCCTCAGGAGCCAGAGGTGAGCGGGGAAGCTCGCCCACGCCAGGCCACTTCTGGCCTGCAGTCCAAACCCAGAGGGGGAGCGGGAACCCACCGCCGGGGCAGACCAAGCACACAGGGGTGTGTCCCCACATCGGCATTTTAGAACAGGGACCTTTCTTCAGTAAAGACTGCTAGAAACTGACAGAT